ATGGCTTTCATTTGACATCTGTTTTCGATAATCTCTAAGTTATAAATCAATTTAAATATCATTATTAATTATGAAAATTCATTGAAAAAACCAAATAAAAGCATGCTGTACCTTCTTGATAGGAAATGCATTCCACTACCAACATTATTTGCATTTCCATAATTAAAACTTTTAACTTCTGATGATTCTAATGCAGTTATTTGATATTTATTTAAAGCATGACCATACCCTTGCAATGTTTGTGTTGAGGAGTCTCCACTGAGTTCACAAATGGTCCCAAACAATCCTTCTAACATATCCTGTGAAATTCTTCGTGGTTGAATAGCTGCAATTTTATATCTTGATAGAATGTATTCTAACATCCCAAGAAAGCCATTTATGGACAAAATCAAATCAAATTGACATTGAGATGAAATCCATTCCATGGCTCCTTTTTTTGGTTATCACCTAGCAAAAACCAATCATGAATATTTTTTAATGTTTTAATTCGTGGATCTTCCATATTTATGAAACTAATTTTGCTATGAAAAATATGTCTATAATATCTTGAATTTCTAATAAATTTCTGTAAAGATACATGTTAATAATAATAGGATAGAATTTATAGAATGATTTTGGCAAAGATAGAAAAAAATGGTTCTTACCCTTGTTCCTTCAGAAATATCTTTCAATTCTTCAATAGCTTCTAATGCATTTTCAACATCCTTTGAAAGAGTCTGTTCAGCTAAATCAACACGCATCTTACTCCAAGATGTTAACCAGATATGACGTTTGGTTAGCCTTGTTGCCTTAGCTGTTGCATGATTACTTGTATAATTATAAACTCCTTCAATGTGCTTCCAACTAACTTCTTTCCTTCATGCATAATTTCACATGCATTTCTTTTACTAATTTGCCCTGTATGACTCTTTGATAGATTATTTAGAAGCTTTTTAAAAACATGAGTTAATTAGATTGTTTGTTTTGTACCATCGATGTCATACACCTACCTTCTATGCTTTAGCTGCTCGTTTGTGAGACTCGTTAAATGGTGTGTTGAACTTGTTCTACTCTTAAAATGGTAACTTTTTAATATACTGTATATTT